GCTACAGAACATGAATTTTTGTGCATACATGTACGAGAATCACTGAAACAAACAATTTCAGAATAAAACTTGCAATAAATCTAATGCCCTGTACTCAGTTACATTATGCTTCGCTTTTTAATATTAGACTAACGTACTAAAAACACTACAAAGTGACACTACAAAGTCATTAAAGATGAAGCAAAAGACTACTGTATAGTTGTCGAGCTAATTGGATTAATGGCTAATAAAACAAAAATATATTCTGAAGATGAAGTTTTTACTTGAATTAAAAATAATGAAGAAACTATTACATATTTCGGTCGTCACCTCGGCAAACACATGCAAAACGATAAGTTATCTTATGAATGCATGTTCTATCTTCAAAAGAATCACAATTAAAAACTGATGGATAAAGGGAATCTTCATCACACAAAAATGGATATTGATCATAATTGCACACCTCAAAGATTTTTCTATCTGCAGAAAAAGAAATAGTGATTTTAAGAGATTACTAACGCATTCAATTTTAAATTGAGTAATAGAATACTTGAGATCGTATTGCTTTCAGATATTTGAAACACAAATGAACACAGTTTTTGTAAGTATGAAAGATAGAAATTTTATCTACAAATATTGAAATATTGAAATTTTTTTAAAATATTAATCACGCTAGGTATCAACATTTCAATTAGTGGCTGAATGAAATAAAATGCACTAAAGCCTCGAGTGAATGTATTTCAAATTTTGATATTAATCAGAAAATTGATCAAAATATTACAAACGAATTTGTTCAGGCATGAAAATCCATTAATACAAGTCAAATTTGTTTCAGAGTAAGTGAGGTTGGAATCGCAAAGTGCTACTTTATAATCATTATTCATACAAGCAATTCCATACCCTGAAACATAATTAATATCATTAACTATAACAAATGAATTAGAAAATAATTCGTTCAGTCTGACTCCAAAATTGAAACTCAGCTCTCTTCTCTTGCCACTTTATATTTTGTTCGCAGTTTGTCTCACTGCACTTAGAATCGAAGGAATTGACACTTTTTGCAATTAGAGTGATAAAATCTTTAAAAAGTTGGAAGCTAATTTAGAGTTCAGAAAAGCCTTTTTCAGTGAAAATTTTTATAAAGTCATTCTTCATGCACTGAACTCACAGTTGATCGAATCCGCATTATTGTATGTGGAGCTTTCCATTTTAAAATATCTCTCAGCAAGTTTAACAGCGTTATCAATATCGAACAAATCCACACTGACTGCCGTGATCACATCAGTCATCTCAAATATTATTTTACTTGATAGTATTTTATTGCCAAAATTCTTACACTTGGTGTTATCGCTTCGAATTTTACTCAAAAATTAGCAATAAAAAAGATAAATAAATAACCTTTTATACATCAGTACAAAATTAAATAGCAGTACAAATTCAGCACTTCAAAGTTACAATTTTTTTCCTTTAAAAGTTAGTTGCACGAAATAAAAAAATGTAATCGAAATGATATAATTACCATTTTTCTACAGAAAAAACTTTATAATTTTGATGCTATAGATTGAACTTTTGACTAAAACAAGTATGAAATGGAAATTTTTCGTATGCAAATTAGTCAATTTGAATATCAGTCAATGATAAGTGATAGTAAGAAGTTACTGTATAAAGCCTATTTATGGCAGCTAAAAAATGTAGCAAACAAATTGATAACAAAGTAGAAAACTAAAAAATTCAAATTTTTTTCTTTACAAATAGCGTTTTTTGAAATTGAAAAATGCTTTGGACTTTATAACTCCAAAATTTTTTGATTGACCTCCAAAATTCTTTGATTGACCTTTTTTTTCTCATCTGTGCTGCAGTTGTGTGTTAAAATTCAATTCACAAAAATTAATATAAAATGATTGAATGGCTGAGAACGTACTGCAAAATTTATTGTACAAAAAAGGAAGAAATTATCGAAATGCATTTCTCAATTTCATATTAATAAGCAATATTTAATCACGCTCACTTGGCTAAAAGTTCATTTCAGTGTATTTTTACCTTCTCAAAAAGCCTTTAATGCATGAAATTTAATTATATTTATATTTGGAAGGTACATTTTGGTCAATTATTTTAATTAATTAAATTAAAAACTAATAACTTGTTGAAAATTTATGCTGAAAAATAACATTTCCATGTAATTCTCATCCATTTTCATTTCAAAAAGAACAGTTTACACTTTTGAATTCAAATTATATCTAAATTTAAACTAACTATCAATACTATAACTAGCAATGACATAAAAGCCATCAAACAACCAGTTTCTGTCAAACGAAGCTGACAATAACTGTATTCAAACTAACTATGAATAAGTAAACTGCTCCAAAATCTGAATATTCAAATTATCAAAACTTTATTTTTATAAACTAAATATTCTCTCTGTTCATATTTAATACTGTTTTCAAAATATGCAGAAATAATTAAATATGAATACTTACCAGGCAATCAAAAGACTGCGATTTTAACTTTGATAAGTTCGAATATCCGATCAAAATCAGGAAAAAAAGCAGGACGCAGTCGTTAGTAATCCACCTCTGATCGTTCCTGATCTTAAAAAATTCTATGAAAATATTTTATTTGATTTTGGATGAATTTTTTAAATACCTAATGATTGTCGTGAATTTTTGAAAATATTAACGAATGGAGCCAAATATAATTGCGAAGTACGAACCGTAATTTTGAACTTATGAGATTAGCAAAGAAAAGAAAGATTTATGAATGACAAGTAAAATTTTGTCAAATACGCCATCCATAAATCGTTCCTTCAAATTCAAAAAGTGTTATTTGTGAGTGAAAAAAAAGCCTGTTTTATTGCCCATTAATTTGATTACAAAACGTTATTTTGTCCAAACAATGTTAGGTTTGTTAAAAATTTAGAGGCAATAGCTTTTCCGTCATTTTTCACGTCCTTTCAAAGCGTGATTTTAAATCTATTTTTAAAAACTATGTCACGTGGTTCCATGCAGTAAGTGCAGTCAATTTAAGTTATTCTTTCTCTTATCGAATCGAGTTCATTTAAGATAATATATTCAGATAACCTCAAGACATCTTGTCGGCTAGAACATTTCCACACACATCACATTGATAAAGCTTTTCTCCATCCGATCAAATAGGACTCTCTATATGCTTTTGTGTAATGTGACAAATGGAAGTGTCACTTAAACACGTCAGAAGGCTTCTTCCGTTCTTTATGGATATCCGTGTATCTCGTGCACATATGACATCATAAATATTTGGCTCTTTACAGTAGCTAATTGTTGGATAATAGAATTGCTTGTTATCTTTGACTGAAAGATTTCTTTTCTGATTCAAATTCCATTCCATCAGTGCTTCTGTTTAACTTTAATTTGTGAATCTTCAATGATAATTGTGATTATGCAAGTCAAATTTTGGCATTTGAGCACAATATAGCGAAGGAACGAAGATTTTTGAAAAACTGTTGTGATACTTTTTCACAGCAGTCGAATGCAAATAGATCTCCATTTACAGATGTGTCATTGGGTTTCTTTGAAACATCGAATACTTTTCTCATAAGGTATTTATTATCAAATTCCGATTCTATGGCCGTTTATCTTTGGGGCTTAAGAGTATGTCAGCTGTGTATTCTGTATGTGGAGCAGTTCCTGAATCTCTACGATGTTAATCTTCTTATAAGATGCCTTATTTTCCTGAGACATTGTTCATTGCTGCATCACAACTGCTGACAAGTAACAATAATGATTATCGAAAATATTAGAAATATTATTGAAACATAATAATAGTGACATTTTACGTCTAGAAACAAACCGTTGCCAAAAATTACTGGAATAAATTCATGTTTAAAGTTTATTCTCTTTGCCACACACACATAGAATTTCACGTATCTTGATTTGAACATTACAACCAATTTGCGAGAAAAAATTTTAAGCAAAAACAAAATAGAATCCATATAAGCAGAAGTGTCAAATAAAAATAGCACTAGCAAAAAGATTGCATGTAAATTGCTTCTTTGATGATTGAAGAGTCCACGCGAACTGGAAGCGCGAATATACATTCCATTTACTATGCTTGCGTTTGCTCAGATTTTCAGATGCGACAACCAATTTTTACCAAGTTTCATTCGAATGGTTTTTATCCATTACGTAATACAATTGTGTTTTTTCAAATGTGCAGTTTGTGTGAAGTTCTTCCCACAAATATTGCACATATGTGGTTTTTCACCGGTATGTATGCGTTTGTGTCTATTCAAATCACTTGAAGTCCTAAATCCATTATTGCACACATCACATATGTAAGGTTTTTCCCCGGTATGTATGCGCATGTGTGCATTCAAATTACTAGAAGACGTGAATCCTTTCTTGCACACGTCACATATGTGCGGTTTTTCAGCGGTATGTGTGTGCTTGTGTGTAATCAAATTACTAGCACATGTGAATCCTTTCTCGCACACATCGCATTTGTACGGTTTCTCGCCGTCATGTGTGCATTTGTGTGTAATCAAAACACCAGTAGTGCTGAATCCTTTCTTGCACACATTGCATTTGTATGGTTTTTCTGCGGTATGTATGCGTAAGTGTGCATTCAAATTACTACAAGACGTAAATCCTTTGTTACACACATCGCAATTGTACAATTTATCGCCGGTATGTATGCGCTTGTGATCAAGCAAATTACTAGAAGATCTAAATTCTTTCTTGCATACATCGCATTTATACGGTTTTTCACCGTTATGAGTGCGTTTGTGTATACTGAAACCACTAGAACTGCTAAGTGCTTTCTTGCACACATCACATATGTACGGTTTTTTACCGGTATGCATGACCTTGTGTCTACGCAAGCTGCCAGAAGACGCAAATCCTTTTTTGCACGCATCACATATGTAAGGTTTTTCTCCGGTATGTATGCGCATGTGTGCATTCAAATTACTAGAAGACGTATATTCTTTCTTGCACACGTCACATATGTGCAATTTTTCACCGCTATGTATGCGCTTGTGCGTATTCAAATTATCAGCACGTGTGAATCCTTTGTTGCACAAATCGCATATGTATATCTTCTCACCAATATCTGTGCGCAAGTACTGGCTTGAAGTACGGTTAGTAGTGAGATTTTTAATTGGAGTTCCGCATTGAAACCGTTTTTCTCTAGAATGCGCTCTTACTTTGCACTTGTAATTCAACTTGCTTGGTCTCTTTTGGAGCTCATGCCAATCAGACTTCGTAGGAACGCTATTCGGCTTTGTATGGTCCATACTTGTTGAATTTCCATCTTTCAGTAGGTTTTTTCCAGCGGTATGTGATGATTCATTAAAATGAATACGTGCGTTGTCATTTACGATTCTGAGTGCTATCGGGAAACTCAATGCTTCTTTTTGATATGTCTCATCTTTCTGTAACAATGAACTAAAGTGAGTAATTTTCCAGATAAAGCATCTGATTATAATATTGAATTTGAAATTGGTAAGATTTGTTGACTTACGGTGGATTCTGCGAGTTGCAGTTTAAGTGATATGCAGGAAACAAAAGCAACTATGATGATGCCACGGCATATGTTTTGATGCATCTGGAACTAACATATATTATTTGGAAACAATATTTTGCTTACTTTAACCACTTTCCAAATTTCTCTGAAACAATGTTACGGCAAAACAGATTACGACTTGCCGTGCTTTAACGCTCTATCTGCCTTCAATTTTTATAGATATGTAGGAACTTGTCAGATATTTGTGTACTGGTCTTACAAAGTTAAAATTTTGTGCTCAACGTTAAACTGCTAGTCTGATTGAGATTGGGACTGTGGCGATTCCTGACGGCATTATTGCAAGATTTCTGGATACAGAAAGAAGAAAGCGCACTGTTTTCACTAATAATTTACTTCCAAAAAAGA